TTCTTTATTATCCATGAAGGGGGTGTCACCTTTGCCAGAGGTTCATTGTGGCCCACTCTTGGTTTTTAGTACCTTCCACCTTCAAAATTCAAGGCTAATTCATCGTGCAGTGCAATAGCAACACTTGAAGTTTTCGAAGATGAAGATCCAGAGCCATCAGAAAGTGCTAATTCATTAATCTCGGGATTCTCTACACCATATTTTAAGCATATGTTATGCAAAATAGCTGTAGCAACTACCATTTTACATACCTTATTCGGCGAATACAAGATTGTTCCACCGGTATCATGTAGTGCTCTAAATCTAGATTTCATCACACCAAAACATCTTTATACAGCACTGTGACCTTTCCTATCTTTTTCATTGTAGAGATATTCTCGAGGTAAACTCGGACCCCCCCGCGAGAAAAAGGTTCTCACAACTTGGTGTCTAGAGGCTGATCACTGTCTCCCAGTAAATAACCATGATGGGACAAAATTATTGATTCCAAACCCCCCCAACCCCCAAACACAACTCCCTATAAAAAAGTATCATGCTCCAATGCCTGGCCATCGTGCTACAACGTCTAGAACTTTTGGATCAACATACAAACTGCAAAAAGAACAAATTTTAGGTTAAAAGCCCCAAGTCTATTTACCTAGTCAATACCTGATTACTAAACACGAAAAATGTTCAGACTCTGATAAATCAAAATCAATCATTTCAAGGATTTTACTTCCTATTTTTATTAAAAAATTTTTAATAAGTATAACAAAAACATGCAATCAAATGTTATATTTTAACAATTCAGTAAAAAAAGGGGGACAATTTTAATTAAAAAAAACATGTTTCATGGAGCAGTCTGATTACAATAAAACCATATTTATTATTATACAGTTTCTTACCATTTGGACATTAATCGAAAATTTATTTTTCCGGTTAATGTAGACAAACCAGTCAGGTACTGCTGGTTTGTTAATAACAATGTGCGTGGAATTTATTGCACGTAACACATTCGGAAAACCTGACACTTGGTAAATTCCTTGCTGAATTTAGAGTAGTTGATTTTCAGTATTCCGATATTTTATATATTTATGTGCTAACTGCATAAGGGCAGAAAGTACACAGTTGAAAAATCTGCACATTGTTGGCTGTGACACTTCTGCATGAAAAACATCCGCAAGTACATACTGGAAACTACCAGTGGATAGAAAACGAACGGTACACAGAACTTCAAAAATAACACAAGCACCTTTTTTAGAATAACTATCATACTTTTTTTTGCAAATGAATGAGGATTTTAACTTTTGTATAAAATGCAGAAAATACAATCTCATAACAACACAAAACTATGCTACATAAAGAACAATTTTCTCCATTTCTTTATAGAAGTATAACAAAGTAAAAAGAAGCATTTTACTCATGACAAATGCTTCTTAAATTGAATTCGGTATTTATATATTAGCCAGGCGACCATGAAACTGTCGCCAGTCAGCCCGATCATACCAATTACAGGCGAAATTCATATCACACCCCACTTGTAACATCTGCGGTTTTATTTGACCGCAGATGTTACAAGTGTTATTATTCATTGAGACCCCAAATGATTCTTGGTAAGCTCCATAGAATCACATTTGTGATTGCACTCCAGTTCTTTTACAGCTGGTCGAGAGAATTAACATCTACTGAATGTGAAAATAGGCAACAAAACAATAAGAGATTGGAACAATTACCTGTGGACTGATTGCATTTTTAGCGTTCTAAAACTAGCTTTCAGTAAAATCCGAGGGCAAATAAAACAGTAGTAATCAATGAAAGTTTTATCCACGAAGTAGGTCAAATACTCGCACAGCAGAGTCATTTCATGTATTCTGCAGAGCGATTGGTGTATGGTTTGTTGTAAGTGCTGTATACAAATGTGTGGTTCAGAATTCCACAGGAGCAATTGTCACTGCAAGATGGCTTATATTTCTGAAACTCAGTCAATACATTTCATGGAGAAAGATAATTCAGTTTTATACTGAAATGTGGAAAAGCAATCTATTTAAGAAAACAGATACCTCTGTGGAGGACTTTCTAGGGAAAGTTCACGTGCATTCGCACTATATATGTGGGGTAAACAACGTTTTATTGTATAATAATCTATTAGTATACAGTAAATACATTTAATTTCTTAGTATTTATTTATATAATGCTGCTTTTCGTGAGATCATGTTTCACGGAAGTAAGGCAAGTCATCAGACAGATCATAATTCACATGTTGCGAGAAAAGACCAAGATATGAGAGGAAGGGGAAAAGCGGCAAGGAACGTGGCAGCCAGGACTATCAGAGGGAGAGATGGCCAAGGGGTGGGATAGACGGGACAGGGAGAGGGAGGAGCAAGCGCAAAGAGGAAAGGACAACCAACCCCCCCCCAGGACCAAATGAGTGAAAAAACACGGGTAAGGCGCCCCCCCAACGGGCAAGAGACTGTAGACTGGAGGAGAAAGGAAGAGAAGAGTAACGAAGAAGGCGAAGGGAACCGACGAAAGAAGAGGACTCAGAGAGAAGGGATAACTGGGGGGAAGTTGGGGGGCGGGCGGGATTGGTACCGCTTCGGGGCGGGCCGGACCCCCCCCGGTGGCCGGGTTGTGGGGACGGGGAGGGAAGGGGTGAAAAAACGAAAAAAAAACGGTTGGTTTCTAAATAACGTCTTCTAACCCAAATTGGGTAGCGGGTTGGTACACGTTATATTCTACAAACAACTAAACTACAACTAAAAATTGGTTTCTTTTTTCCAATAATAAAACACTAACCCACCGATATATATCTGAATTAGTTTCGTTTTTTACACACAACTCCTAAAACCTTCTCCCCCGCACGTCACAAACACCACTCACCCCGCCCCCACCCTACGGCCCCCCAACACACCATGCGATTTTTTCCATAGTTACACACGATCCGCCGAGATACGTTTAGCATAGAATAATTACACCCCCCCCCCCACGAAACACAGATAAATTATAATGGTGATATTTTACTGAAGCTCCAAAATTGCAGTAATTAACAACGCTGTTTCGATCATACTACGAAAGCAATACGTGATGAAAAAGAAATAATCCTGCCTGAAACACAGGAAAACATTGAAAATTTGGGTGGTGTTTACGTATTAAAAATACTAATATTAACATATTTTTAAGCATAGTTCTTTGGATCAGAAACATTTCCAGAGGATTTCAGGTTTCTAATGTAAAGTAAAAACAAACTGCATTTGCCCACAGAATATCCATTGGCAGATGCCTTCAAGAACAGTTTTTTTTTCTTCAAGTCATGCATAAATTCATAGCACTGACCTGACTTACCCTAAATCTACTGATAAAAATTCCCGCTAAGACATTTCGAAGAGGATAGTTGTTTTTAATTACCATGGAATTCAATAGCATTTCGAAGATTGCTGAAAACGTCTCATGCCAGCCCCCCGCCGACCACATCATTCTCAGAATCTTGTTTAAGTCGCTGTTGTTTTGTTAAGAGTTTGTGGCAGGTCAGGGAGTGTAAGTAGAGTAGCCACAAAATCCTCTGTGACTTTTTTCAAATAGAATGTCTGTTGAAAAGCGTTTGCACTTATTGATTACTGTTTTGCCCCCCCCAATGCAGGCGATTACCATGACAGACGTTGACACTTGAATTGCCCCTTAGTTCATGGACATTATAAGAAATAGACCAACACACCCACCAATGGCTTTTCTCTCTCTTCTGACGATAATACGCCGCCCCCCCACCCCCCCCCCCCCCTTATTAGCCCCACCCCCCACCTTCATAAAATGAAGAGGCACACCCGCCACGAGTAGCACACCAGCCCCCGCGGACAACGCATCAGGCAGAAGAGCAAAATAAGACCTCTACAACTGGTTCTGTGGCACCTCGTTCGTTTGGAAGCATCATTCTCCGGACGAATAGACACGATTTCAAAATATGAAAATATCCTATACAAAAAAGCCCGAGATAGATTATTATGACGTACACACGCGCCTCCTTTACTCCCCGGCCTTATTAGCACAACAAATTCGCATAACACATCCGGGTCAGAAAATTGAGTTTACGTAAAGAAAAAGTAAAACACAACAGATTCGACCGCCCACCGACCATACCCCTCACCCAGGCCACCATCTAATAGCAATATACCTATCAATAGACTTTTTTAAAAAACTGTCACGCTTTTGAATCCACCAAGATCAGTGTACGATGTTGGCTAGGTCGAAAAACAACCCAACCCCAAATACAGGCCCATAGCTAAAAACCCCATCACAGTTTCTAGTTAAAGGAGAGCCAACCACACGCACCACACAACACAAAATAGCCCAAATCCACCACCCACACTTAGCGCAGAAGTCAGCAAAATACAAACCATCCCCAAAACTACTTGTTATTCCATTGAAACAACAACGCCCCCCCCCCGTCCCCAAAGTTCCCCTCTGTATTTTTTTTATTTCACCTTCCCCCAAGTGGCTAACATCGCGCTTCAACCCCAAACGCTGACCTGCCGAATTATCACGCCAGCTTTAGCCACCCTACTTTTATGCCAAACACAGCCGCTCCCATTACCCCTCCAACGACTCCCACCCCCCCCAACCACACCGTCGCGTTAAGTTTACAAAAAACGATTCAATGTTCCCGACCCCACCCTGCTCTTCGCGGACCCGATAAATTTGAAGGAAAATGCAGCGTGGCTGTGATCTCAAAGGGACAATGTTGGGGCCTAGGCAAAACTGTAGTCACTCCTGAAAATGCAGCCCACAAATTTCGGGATTGCCAGCAGAAACGAACTAGGAAACAGAATCCCGAGGCTGGCATCAGAGACACCCGCTTTGGTCGCCGACCAGGTAGTCCCGCGACGCAAAAATATTACCCCACAAAAAAGCCGCTACCCCCCCCGCCGGCAAAACCAATTGTTACACCCACCCCCCACCAACACCCCCCTCAAAAACAGAACAACCCCCCCCACCCAACCAGTAAGGAGCAGGAAATCTAAAAAGTGAATAGAGCCTGAAAAAAATAAACGCCCCCCCCCTGCCCCCCCCCAGTCGCGGAAGTGTGTAATTGAAAGAACATTCGGAACAAAAGTAGAGAGGCAATAAAAGTAAAGAAAGACTTTGAACCTGGGCAGAGTGAAGTGACGGGTTAAAAGAGGCAGGAAAAGGTAATTTGAACAGAGAGTACTCCAGACTGGGCAACCCCCCCAACCTTAAACCTAAAAAAAAAATGGAGATATTGCTGTGGTGGTAACCCCAAAAAAAGAAGGGATACCAGGAACTCCAAGATAGTACGAAAACAAACCCACCCCCTGAACTGAAAATAGAAGGCGCGCAATAAAAGATAGTTGGCCCCCCACCCCCCCACCCCACCCAGCACCCCCCCCCACCCCCCCCTCCCCCCCCCCCCCCACCCCCCGGGTACCGAAAAATCATCATTTGTGTGAAGAGAAAGCACTGCATTCGCCTCTTAAAGCTACTGCATGGGCTTGGCGGTTATGCGCCAGAAGACAGAAGACAGAAGCCTAATCGACCATTTTTTCGTACGAGAGAAGAAACGATTAATACTGAAAGTTAACGTTACAGTTTGGAAACAATTTTTCAGCACTCAACTAGCGTTGGAGGAGTCGACCAGGTAACGACTGGTTATGCAAGATGGGGCGCGACCACACGACCGATAAAGTTTTTCGCTTTCTTCATTAAGTTTGGAAACAGACGAATTGAGTTTAGATTATCCGCAATTTACTGAACACAGGAATAGCTTGTAAGAAGCGAGGATAAAGATTGAGTGCTGGTCTAATTCTTTCTGTGGGGGTTGCATGAAAGAAACTTGCCCTATCGGAAAAAATCCCGCTAATTCTAGATGAGCTTTGAATCGTTGAATTTTTTTCGTTTGCATGTGATTCCATTTCCGTTGAGGACATGCAAGACGTGATGTCAAACTTCATGTTCGTTTACGCCACTATTGTTCGAACTGTGAACATTTTGACAAAACATTGATATTTTGATTGCAAAAGCTGGCTCACTTTATGTTTTTTTTGTTTACTCCTTTCAGCGACACGAGGTTGTAGCGCAGAGCGCAGCGGGGGGATGAGTGGGTGCCGGAACGAAGGGGCGAAGTGTGAACCCATTTTTTTAAGATTTGGCTATATATGAAGTACAGTTACCGCAATAAATTCTCTTCGATCTTTGTTTTTGTAGCGATATTTTAATTTTGAAAATCGGGGCTTATTTGCTGCCTCATCTGTATAATTGTCAAGAAAAACTGGTTGTTGTTATGTTTTTTTGTTCTGTTTAGCGCCTCATTTCACAAATTAGAATTTCTACATAGGGGTATTTTGAAATTCAGATAGATTATTGAAAAAAAATGTGCAGAGTTAGCAAGGAGAATTACGTTAAAAGGAAGTATAAAGGGGTGTTGTGTGCATGGCTTTTAGGGGGGATAGTTTGTAAGTGTTTCTGTGCTCTAAGTAAATGACCCCCTTCGGTTAGCACAATCATCTGGTCCCTTTGCCCTCAGACGACCACCTTCCGCACCCCTTCATCTCAACTTCCTTCCCTCGCCTTGTATCCCCCTTCTGTCCGCACCCATGTCTATTGCCACCCTTTTCTGGTTTTTTTTTAGTGGGTATAAAATAAAATAAATTACTAAAATATTTTTCAACGACTTGTTGTGAAAAATTCTACCCCCCGTGTGCTGTTTTAAACTTATCGATGAGTATTGTCGCTTTTTTCTCCCGGCATTCTTTCCCGCTCCTCTTCTGTGTCCCCCATACATGGACCTACGCAATCCACATACCACCCCCCCACAGTGACTAAATTCGCACACACCCCCCACTCCCACCCACTATTCTAACACGTTTGGACACCCAAACCAACAATCACAACCTCGGCGCTCCATGTTTCCAAACGATTACACATCCCTCATAAAACCAATGCCCCCCCAACCCCACGACAGCCCAACCAAACCGAAAACAAAATACCATCTATAACCACAAACCAAGCTATGTTACAAAGAATTGGACAACAAGACCAGACGAGAGCAAGTTCCCGCCCACTTGCTTCTTTTTCCACTTCTCTTCTCCAAGCCCCCCGGTCACAAGCAAAGCCACTATAGTAACTACCTTTTGAAACTATTTACTGTCCTTTATTTTAGCCCCCGGCCCGACTACACCTCCCCCCCCGCGGCCCCTTCCGCCCTCCACAGTGCCCCAGTCAGCTCCACCAACACAAAAGGGCTTATGCGGTAAGTTAGTTATCACGAGCCTCCCGTGCCTGACCTCTGCAGGTCCTTGAATCTTACTTCTTTCTCCCTACCCTCCCTGCAAACAATCGACCCGCCTGAACACCCCCGACCTCGATAATTGTATTGCACCTGAAGAGTCAGCAAAAACTCACACATAATCGAATATATTTGTCAAGACACACAGAAGACTTGACCCCACCTACACCCCACCACCGTATCCCACCCCCTTCCCCCCTACCATCCCCGTCAATTCCCCCTATCTCGTGCTACTCCTTTCCCCCTCCCGCCATTCTTCCCCTCCTCACCCCCCACTCCCCTTTGCCCCCCAACGTCTCCGACCTCCTCAAATTCCCCCAGCCATACCCCCTAAACTCCCCCAACCCCACAGCCCGCAAACTCAACCTCCCCCCCTCTCTCTCCCTATCCCAGCCCCTTACACCCCCTGCCAACCCCGAGCCTTCACCCCCATACCTCGAAGACTCTACAGACGCTTTTCCTTTTCTCCACCACTTTGACCACCACCCCCATTCCCCTTCTTCCCCACCACCCCCCCAACAAGACCCCCCTCACACCCCACCCCCTACCTACACCCTACCCCTCCCCCCTCTTCCTTTTTGGCTTCTTGCTCCATCAGCATACTCTCTTCTTAGAGACTAGAGAAGAGAAGATCATCCGAAGAAGAGCTATCACCATATTCCATCCCCACACTTCCCCCCCTCCTCACACCTACTCATCGAACTTACCCCCCCCCCCCCCGCACCCCCCCCACCCCCCCCCCCCCCACTCCCCCCACCCCACTCCTCCCTACACCTCCCACTACATTCCACCCCCCACTCCCTCCCCCCACCCCACCCCCACTTGATTAGTCCTTCTTGTGTAGTCCCCACACACCCATACCGCGTCACCCTACCCTCCACCCCCCCCCACCCCCCCCACTTCCCACCCCCCCACCCACCTCATTTCCCCACCCCCTCCCATTCCCTTTCGCACATTGTCCTTCTGGGCCTGCGCTACCCGCTTTTGGTTAAAACACCTCCCGAGTCCCCCACTGTAGAGAGCAATCCGTCCGTTGCCCTTTTTCTGAGTCCTCTGACGGAGTGTAGCAGAGTATTAGATTTTTATATCGTTCCCTTTCCTTATCCCCCTCACTCCACCGCAAGCGTGCACCCCAGCGACTTGCCGCTGAGATAAAGAGTCTCTAGCTAGATCGCTGTCTTTCACACTCCTGTGTTGTTCATACCCCCGGTTCTCCCCCGATATTATGGCTGTTGAATGCATTTATGGGTTTTACGGCCCGCGCAAGAATCCTCTTAATGATATAAATAAATACACGGGCCTAACACAACAAAACGTAAATAGCCAAACGGTTCTTGTGGGGCGAGTAATATAAAACTGCGGGAGTGCTTTCTAGGATGTTTAATATCGTTGTTTCCTGTGCTAGTTAATTACACCCCCCCCAGGAAAATTTTTCTATGTCCGACACATGTTTCTTATGCTCAACTGGAGCTCACTACCATAATAAAATATACCCTTTCCACTCCGTGACTGTCATAATTACTGCCCGCACTCATAATCGTCAACCTTACCAACTGACATCGTTTGTACTGTGATTATAGTTTGGAAAACACTGCCTGAAAATGATGCATAACAATCCTTTTTAAAAAAATTTACCTCTGTAATTACTTATTTATTTCAATCACTGTCCCATAACCCTCCATCCGTATATCAACTCTTATTTAATTTATTTATGTGTGTACGCAGCATTCAGTCAACAATTTTGCTGCTAAGCCGTTTTTACCGTTCTTTACTCAACATCTGTAAAAGATCGTTCTGGTCTGTACAAGCATTAATCTGCGTGTCTCGGCGAAAAAATAAAAAAAAAAAAAAAAAAAGGGAAATGCAGTAAAAAGTGTTTTAATGAGCTATATTAAATCCTATTTGAAAAAAAACTGTGACTTTCATAATCTCATCACGATACACCGTATCACATTTAATACTTAAAAACAGTTATGTGGTACAAACGCCATAGGTTTGATTGTTAAAGTAAACCAGATCGTGCTTACTCTTTCTTGTGGACATGTCGGTGACGCGCGTCCCGCCCACTGGGTTAGTCTATCTCTTATAAGGTCCATGCCTTGGTTGCTATGACGTTGCAGTGACCTCTCAGTGTTGCATTTTCGTCACATTACATTTGTGACCACGGACAACGTCGATTGTGACGTGGATGTGAATGTCGTTACATATGCACATACACGTGCCAGCAAACGTTTAATGGATGACAAGAAATTCGAAGTCTTTCCCACCCGACTTTCTTGACCTTGCTGAGTAATTCTCTTTAATGGGAGTATCTTCGCGCGCTGATTCCCTCCCCGCATTGCTATGTGTTTCAATAAACCTTTCTAAATAAATGATTCTTTTATGCTAATAGCTTACAGTTTTAGTTCTTTTTTATTAAAAATATTAACAGTTTTTGGCGTGTTTTTATTGATGTGGTACTTCATTATATTCTGTGGTGAACGGATTCACATTCTACTGTATCTAGAGACTGACGAAAGAGTTTGTTGTCTGCATAGCGTTTGTTTGTCTTGAGGATTTTCGCGACCATTTTTTTTAGTTCTGTTCACCGAACACTTCCTTTGCGCTACATTTTCAGGTAAGCGCTGTTTATTGTACATTAAAGTTAATGATATCACTAATAATTAATATGTAATATTAAAAGCGTAATTTAAATGCTATGAACAAAACGACATATGCAGTGATTAACTTTAATTTGTATTACAAAGAGTGCAAAAGCAAGGGAATTATCAAAAGTCATCTCATTTTGCTCACTGCTAGAAATTTTAATTTAGGGGCGAGGTTTATTGGTAGATATATTCACTTTTTGTGTTTGTAATATTAAAAGATAATGTGAAAAAAGAGCTGATTACGCATTTTACTGGTACTTTCATCGCGTTCAGCTATTTTCGAAAATTATTCGCAAATAATTACTTGCTTCATGGTGGCACTTAGCGCCCACATAACCACGTTTTAGTTATAGAGCAGTTTTTTAACTTACAAATATGTATTACTTTAAAACACTGACTGCTACAGTTTCCTATATGAAATTTCTGAGATTAGTTTTAAATTTTTATATCAGATCTTTTTTCTTTCGCAGATTATGTCACACTTTTACGTATAATATATTGTGTGTTAAAGTAACTTAACTTGCCTTATTAAGAGATTTAGTAAGAGAAAAAATTTTTCCTATTTAGGTCAAATTATTGAATACGGAAAATACGAGGGCTGTCTCCAAAAACGCAATTTTTTTCAATTATTACATATAAAATTATTAATGCTATCATTCAAGCAGTATACAATAATTTACTCCCCATATGCGTGATTAAATAAAGGAGCTTGTATTTTATCGCATAAATAGCCGAGTTTCATTCAGTTTACCGTGAGCTACAAATAGTATTTAAGCATGTGTGAAGGTCTACAGAGGCTGTTCGCACATTTTTAGGATTTGGTAAGCGGTAATAAAAATCGTTTGCTGCAAAAGAAGTAATGCAATTGACTATGTTTTTAAAAGTCAAATTATTCGTCTGCGGCTTGAAAGTTTGTTTTATTCAAATGGCGAATTTAACAAAGCAGTGGTTCGAAGGCTACATTTACGCTCTTTACAAAAAGAAATATGCATACTCCGTTATCCATAAACGATGCGAGAGTCATGGTTTTGTGATATCCATATCTAAAGCGTCGATAAGTAATATCAACAAGAAAGGAAAAAAACGTCAAATTGGAGCCTCAAGTGGGACAAAAATTCCAAACAGGTATCCAAGGAAAAAACGGACATCTTCGACTATTGCAAAGCTACGTTGTTTAATGTTAAAAGAAAATCCCCCTCGTCAAAGGACAGTTGCAAATTCATTAAAATGATCGGGGGCCACTGTAACCAAAATGATAAACGTTGATTTAAATCTTAAGAAAGCTAAAAATCGCAATGTGCATCGTCTTATTCCAAAGCATATCGCTCAACGCAGGACACGCTGCAGAATTCTATATGAGAAACACTATCCAAAGAAAAATAGAAAACAATGTCACAACAGATGAAGCATGGGTGTATTTAATGATTGTAACGAAAAAGAGCCATTTATTATCATAAAAGGGGGAAAAAAATTAAGTACATAGTTCAAAGAATCGAAGAAAGTTTTCTAAGGGATCATGATTGTGCTGGTTTTTTCTCATAATGGCAAGTTAAAAATAAAGAGAGTGCAATAAAATGTCAAGATTAACTCCATATGCTATCAGGAACATATTTTATCGCCAATTTTTCTGAATGAAATTCCATCGCTTTACCCACAGTGCCATCAATCTGTGAGACTCCATCAGGACAAAGCTAGCAGTCACACATCAAAATCTACTGTAAATTTCCTAAACGAAATGGAACAAAAAACTGGTATCAAGGCCACATACCCTTCACTGATATCCCTACTAAATCTCCCGATGTGTCATCAATGGATTTTTGTGCTTTCGTACTTTTAAAAACTGCATTATCCAAACGTTGTCCCAAAACCCTAACAGGAGACTGGAAACAAACCCTAACAGGAGCTGCTCGGGAGGAATGGGATAGAATACCTCTTCTGCCACTTCATAGGGCATTATTATCCTGGAAATTGCGGTGTCGAAAGTTAGTTCAGAATAAGGGATGTCAAATAGAACATTTATAACACAAGAATTTTATGTAATTTAGTTTTGTGAATGCAATATACATCGTCTAAAAAATGTGTGAACAGTCTCTGTAGTATAGTGTATATTCTCAGAAGTGAGTAATAAAGATTTTCCGTAAGTCACCTTTGACAATAATTGTTTTATGAACTGGAATAATTGATTCCTGCAAATTTGTTATGCTTTTGCATAATACTCTTTGTTAAGAGAACAGAAAAGTGCGTTTAGGAAATGCTGAAATGTTTAAAACAAATGATTCACATTAATCATCAAATGAAATAAAATTATACGATATTTTTACCGTAATACACTTATTTAAATACATTGAAGCTATGCAGTGTAAGACAGTTATTTTAAATTTATAGCTTAAAAATCTCATAAATTTTTAATTTATCAATGGAGTAATAATGTTGAAAAAGAATGCCCGTTTTGTATAACAATATAACTAAATTAAATACTTTATTTCAAAAGAATAAATTGAATAAATACAAAGTTAATTAATTCTTTGCACCATTGCTGCAAGGAATGAAATTTAAATTTTAAAAAACATGTAAAAAAGCAAATTTAAAGTAAAAATAATTAAAAAAATGTGCAAACATATAAAAGATTTCATTTTCGAACCAATCTACAATATCATTTAAATTCAGATAGCATAAATAAATCAAGTGCAAAATCAAAACCATGAAAATAAATTCACCAATTTAACAAATTAAAATTAATCTAAAAATTTTTTTAAAAATGCATAAGTGAATGACTGTTGAGTAGGCAGGAGACAGACTTATCAAGGGGAAGTTGCCTCCAAACCTAACTCTTCAATCATTCAATTCGTGTTTCGTCATTCATGCAGGCAAGGGTAAAAGTTTTAACAAACATGTATATACGTAAAAAAAGCAAATTTAAAGTAAAAATAATTAAAAAAATGTGCAAACATATAAGATTTAATTTTCGAACCAATCTACAATATCATTTAAATTCAGATAGCATAAGTAAATCAAGTGTAAAATCAAAAACATAAAAATAAATTCACCAATTTAACAAATTAAAATTAATCTAAATTTTTTTTTTAAATGCATAAGTGAATTACTGTTGAGCAGGCAGGAGACAGACTTATCAAGGGAAAGTTGCCTCCAAACCTAACTTTTCAATCATTCAATTTGTGTTTCGTCATTCATGCAGGCAAAGGTAAAAGTCAAAACCAAAAGTAAATACATAGTGAAGAACGTCCAAAAAGAAATACCAACAAAGTGGTTCCTTGAGTAATTAGCAATTAAAAATTAAGGTCTAAAAGGAAAATACCAATAATGAAGTATTTGAGGAAAAAAGCAATGTAAAGTCTAGTATTAAATTAAATTTTTTAAAAAATTAAATTTTCCAGAAAAATTAATTTAGTAACCAATGCATTTTAGAAACCCTTGTCTACAGAAACCTCCTCGACACGAATATGAATATTAATCAAAAAGAAAGTAGACAAAATTAATATAAAACTAATAGAAACTAAAAAGAACTAATTCATAATTTAGAAAAAGAAATATATACTTAAAAATATAATTCCAATTTAGAAAATACTTAAATACTACATAAAAATCCTTAAAAGCAAGTAAATAGTAAGTTTTTTAATTCTAACTTACCTACCATATAAGCGTTGGGGTCTGCAAAAGTAATTCCTAAGTGATGGTAACTGTGTTCTGCAAATTATATAGATGGCGCTAATGTAAGTAAAGTTGAGTGCCGAGCTGCTATCTTTGTTTTATTAAAAATTTGGAAACTTTAATATTAAAATATTTAAATAATATAAATAGTATAAATCTGGAAAAAAATCAACGAATATCCTAAAAGTATGTAATTCAAGTTTTAATTTTAATTGACC